ATCCAAGTAGCTTAATACTTACAGGTATGTGTTGGTGATTTAATTTACTGATTAAAATTTTGATATTCCTTCGTCTCTAATAAAAAAAAATCAATTGCATACTCTTTCAAGTTAGCTGATGATATTTATAAGCAGTTGATGGCTCCAGTGTGCATGATGTCTCTGTAGAATTACCTGCCTCTATCTGGAATATTTGTTCATGGAAAGAAGCAACTTGCAAAACCAGAAATTTTTGTCCCAATTGTTGTTAGCTACTTTTAAAAACCCTCCTTTCAGTGACCCTCTACTATGTTCATTTTGAATGAATGGTTATTTTTTTTAAGTATATGTGGCTCAGTGGATTGAGCGCAAAATTGTGAACCAGAGGGTCTCCAGTTCTATTCCCAGTCAGGGCACATGCCAGGGTTGTGGCCCGGGTCCCCAGTTGAGGGTGTGTGGGAGGCAGCCACACACTGATGTTTCTCTCCCATTCTTTCTCCTTCCCTTTCCCTAAAAATAAAACCGTAAAATCTTTAAAGAAAATTCTGGTTGTAACCTCTGTTTAAATGGACCTGTTACTACCTCTGCTTTCTTCGTACACAAAAATTATCCAAAGATACATCTTTGGACATACAGGCATGGTATCATGCCTTGGAGTGCTGGAGTGCTCACCTATGTTAACTTATTTTTGAATCAATCCTGATATCCTGGATAACTTCAGAATTCCTTGGGATAGTCATATGGCATCTTCTATTTCAGTATTCTTCACTTACCTTTTATTTTTAAAAATAAATTTAATTTAAAAATTATTATTATGATTATTTTAAGAAAGAAAAAATGAAACACACATGTAAAAAGTACATTAATACATTTTCTCCAATCTTGTTAATAGTTTGATATATTAGGTCTGTTCAGAAGGTATCCAGTAATGTAATATTTTTAAAAAGAGAGAGAGACATTTATTGAAGATACAAGCTACAAGAAACATTGTACATAGGGCAGTGATATCTCAGTCAGCTTCAAAGTAGGCACCTTAAGACCCCACACAGTTCTCCCACTTGCAATCAGCTGCTGCTTCTTATTTTTATGAATTTCATCGAAGATCTGAAATCTCTCCCATTTCAAAGGTGATTTTAGTTTGGGGAAAAGCCAGAAGTTACAGAATGCCAAATCTGGGTTGTGGGGGTGGTGAGTCACCTGGATGATTTGATGTTTCACCAAAAATCTCTGCATGAGATGTGATGCATGAGTGGGTGTGTTGTTGTGCTGAAGCTGCCAATCACCAGTTGCCCACAGCTACGGCCTTCTGAATTACATGAATAGTTTCTGTGGAGAAATGTTCAAGCTTAAGGTAAAATTGGATGCATATTCATTTCTCTACTCAGTCATTTTGAAATGCAAAGGCCACACAGTACACATGCGCAATCAACACTGTCTACCGCCCCCACTGAATAGTACAGTGAACTCCAGTATGCACACGTGTTCCAGTCCACTCTCCCTGGTTGCCAGCTTACATAAGTGTCATGCCAACCATTCTCTTCTTTTTTTTTTTTTAATTTTATTGATTATGCCATTACATTTGTTCTATCTCCCCCCTCCATTCCCCTCCACCCTGCACACCCCTCCCCCACCAGTCCCCCCTCTTTAGTTTATGACCACATGTCTCAAGTTCTTTAGATTCTATATTTCCCATACTATTCTTACTCTCCCCCCTATCTATTTTCTATCTACTGTCTATGCTACTTATTTTCTGTACCTTCTCCCCCCTTCTCCTTCTCCCAATCCCCTGTTGCTAACCCTCCATGTGATCTTCATTTCTATGGTTCTGCTCCTGATCTAGCTGTCCTCTTATTTTGCTTTTGTTTTAGGTGTGGTTGTTAATAACTGTGAGTTTGCTGTCCTTTCACTGTTCCTATTTTTTATCTTCTTTTTCTTAGGTAAGTCCCTTCAACATTTCATATAATAAGGGCTTGGTGATGATGAACTCCTTGAATTTGATCTTATCTGAGAAGCACTTTATCTGCCCTTCTATTCTAAATGAAAACTTTGCTGGATAGAGCAATCTTTGTTGTAGGTCTTTGGTTTTCATGACTTGGAATACTTCTTTCCAGCCCCTTCTTGCCTGTAAGGTCTCTTTTGAGAACTCAGCTGACAGTCTGATGGGAACTCCTTTGTAGGTGACTGTCCCCTTATCTCTTGCTGCTTCTAGGATTCTCTCCTTCATTTTAATCTTGGCTAATGTGATTATGATGTGCCTTGGTATGTTCCTTCTTGGGTCCAACTTCCTTGGGACTCTGTGAGCTTCCTGGATTTCCTGGAAGTCTATTTCCTGTGCCAGATTGGGGAAGTTCTCTTTTATTATTTGTTCAAATGAGGTTTCCACTCATAACTGTTCCTCTTCCCCTTCTGGTACCCCTATAATTCAGATGTTGGAGCATTTAAAGATGTCCTGGAGGTTCCTAAGCCTCTCCTCATTCTTTTGAATTCTTGTTTCTTCATTTTTTCCTGTTTGGTCATTTTTTCCTTCCTTCTGGTCTACTCCCTTGATTTGAGTCCCAGTTTCCTTTCCATTACTGTTGGTTTCCTGTGCATTTCCCTTCATTTCAATTAGTTTAGTCTTCATATGTTCCTCTAATTTGTGCCTAAAATCAACCAGTTTTGTGAGCATCCTGATCAGCAGTGTTTTGAACTGTGCATCTGAAAGTTTGGCTATTTCTTCATCACTTAGATTTATCGGTTCTGGGCCTCTGAGTTTTTCTTGAGCCATGTTTTGATCTGTTTGTGCCTGTTATGTATGAGGAGAGGTGCCCTAGGTGTTCACCAGGGTGGGGCCACCCAGGTTGCTGGTTTGTGATGCTGTATGTGGGGGCAAGGTCAGAGAGGGAGCAATGGTGGTCCTCTCCGCTCGCCTAGTCTGCCTCACTGCTCGCCCTGGACTGCTTATCCCAGTGCAAATGTGCAAGTGCCCCCCCCCCCGCCCTGTGCAGGCCGCCGGGGCCTGCACAATCTGTCTCAATGCTCGCCTCTTCACTGGTTTATCTGCGTGCAAATGCGCAACCTACCGCAGACAGCCAGCCGCACCTCTTCCCTGGGTTCCACCCGTAGCTATCCCGCACCTGGGATCCGGGCCCTCAGCTGCCTGTGCAGCGCCCAGGTCGGGGGATCTTTTTTGCCCGACAAAGTCCGCTGCTGGCTTTGCCCCTCTGACAGGTTTAGCTGAGCAGGTCATTGTTTTCGGACTCTGTATTCAATTTTCTGTGGTTTGATTATGTTTATTGTTGTTAAAACTTTGTTGTTTTTAAATTTGGTTGTGCGAGAACGCAAAGTGTTCCCACCTACGCCTCCATCTTGGCGGAAGTCCCATTCCAACTATTCTTGTTATATTAACAATGGCTGAACTTTTACCTGACAGACCTTTTATGTCCTTTTGGAGTTTTCTCTATAAACAGTTATATATGGGTGAATATAATACCTCTTTTGAAAAATGGGATTATTATACTTACTGCTTTTCCCTCCTGTTCTGTAACTTCTGAGCTTAACAACATATGATTTACCTGAATCTGTTCTCAGACCACTTGTAGCTGCTTTTTATATACTAATGACTGTTTAGTTTTTCTCTCAGTGGAAAAACTAAGAGATCTGGATGACCTACATCCAGATCTCTACTGATGGGCATTTCAATTGTTTGTAATATTTTGCTGTTTTAAACAATGTTGCACGGACTTTCTGTGTTATTTTTTGTGTATGTATATCTTTGTACACTTAGGGAAGGATTTATATAAGTTCTCAGAAACAGGATTTCTGGGTCAGGCAGTATGCCATTACAAATTTTGATGTCTGTTGCCAAATTTCTTCCCATAAAGTTGAAACCTATACTTCTGGTATCAAAAGTGCTTTAACTACTTGTTGCTAGTACCCTAAAGTCCATGTCTCCTTTTCCCCCTCTGTCACATTGCCTTAAAAAGCCACAACCAATTCCTATATGTCCTGCATTGCCATGGGGCATGGTGCCACCACACATCCTGGTCTTCTAATTTGAGCTAGCCCCTTTATCTGTTCCTGTGTCCCACAGTGGCTATTCTAAACTTTTAACAGTTCTGTCAAACCTATGCCCAGCCCCACTACATTCTCCCTCTTACTCTAGATATTTAAGAGATCACCACATTCTATCACATCTTTCTCTTCAACTTATTTTTTTACCATTTCCTCTCTCAGTCCTTGAATGGTCTTTTGTCTTGTACACATTCCAGTCACCTTTCATGTTGTAGCCAGTGTGATGTTTCCAAAATGAAAATTTAAGCATGTTAATTTGTTTTGAAGTATTTCAGTGAAAGACCCATAGAAGCATTCCACTTTCCCTGTGGAAATGGTGTGTTTTGGCACTTTATCCACTTGACTCTTACCTTCTAGTCTTTTCTCCTTCCACTATCCCATTTGTGTCCAGCCAGTCCCACCCGCTTGTCTTCTGAATCTGCCTCCAGCACATTCTGTGCCCCGACCCTGGAGTGTTTTAATCATCATTCAGCTCTGCCCAAATCTCCATGTTCTGAAAAGTCTTTCCTTAACTTTCTTTCTATAGCCAAAGCCTTTCACTTCTCTGCTTCTACATTGCCTTGATTATATCTCTATTACAGCAATTGCCACTTGGCTGGGGAAAGTTTGCATATGTTTATTGTCCCTGTTAAATGGTGATTAAAGACATATTTCTAGTACCTTTCACAATGTCCTAACCTATTATAGGTGCTTAATAATTGTTAATAAGCCTCAGCTTCTTCATGTGTAAAACAAGAATTAATGACTTGCCCAAAACCATCCAACTAGTACTGGTAAGTTATAGAGTAGGAACTGATGCCAAATTCTGTTCATTCCCCACCTCTTAAACAACTTCTGCTTGGAGATCAGTGTAGGATCACATAGAGTAGAATATGAGTATTGGAAGTGAAAAAAAAACATGACTGATTTATCTGTTTCCTCTCACTAGCACTTTTTAAAAGCCCATTCTCTCCCTTTTTCTTTCTAAGGTATATGGCTGGGGTTACAATGGCAATGGTCAGCTTGGCTTGGGAAACAATGTCAATCAGCTGACCCCTGTGAGAGTAGCAGCTTTGCACAGTGTGTGTGTGAACCAGGTATGTTTGGTGGACTCTTAGTTGCTGGTCTCCATCTGTCTTCCCTGCTCTGACTTGGAGGAATGTTGGAGATTTACTCTTCAATAAATCTTTTTGAACGATACCTGTGCTTTCATCTTCTATATTTAATATCATATCCTCCCTAAATTCTGATGATGAGAAGGAACACCATGGTGGTGGCATGTTAGCCTTAACAAGTGAAAAAAGCGATCAGAAAAACTCAGTGGTCTCAGGTTTAGGCTTTTCTAGTTTTTTTTAATGTTTTAGAAAATGTTATCCCACACCTGATGATGAATTGGTGTTCTGTAGAAGCTGGCTGTAATCTTTAGATGTTTTTCCCTGTCTTTCCTGTTTATGATAACCATTTAAATTTACTTGCAGATTGTCTGCGGCTATGCACACACTCTAGCACTAACAGATGAGGGCTTGCTCTATGCCTGGGGAGCTAATACATATGGGCAGCTGGGAACTGGCAATAAAAATAACCTGCTAAGCCCAGCACACATCATGGTGGAGAAAGAAAGGTAACTTGGCTGTACCATGTCTTGGGATCATGTGTGCATTGTGGACTTGGAGCTATGTGTGTTTAGCTTGGTGTGTGCTGGAACCATGGTGTTTGGCTTTGTAACTCTTCTGTTTATTAACATTCTTATTTTGAACAAAGAGTTTGAATACCAGCTTGAGTGAACATGAGGTTGACAGGATTCTTATGCAGCTTTCTAAAATAACCTCTTGATTGATATGCATTAATGCATCTTGGTAAAATCCTACAAACTTCTTGTTGCCCATTTAGTAGGGAAGTAAAATAGGGTCTACCACCATGTTGAAGTATAAAATTTTCCTTTGAGCCAACTAAAACAACTTTTACATGAATAAAAATTGCCCTTGAAAGGACATTATCTGTTCAAATATTGCTTTGATGTAATGTGTGTTACTGGAATAGATGCTTAATGTTTGTTCAGCCAAATCATGAGGTGTTGTTACCCACTAAGTTTTAGAATGTTGACTTTTGATTCTGGGACCCTGCCTAAGAAAGAGACTAAGAAATGTAGTAACTCTGGCTTGATGCCCATTTGGCTTGGAGTGTTCAGAGTTCATGACCCCTAGACCAGTGTTTTATCAGCCTGATGAGTGTTCTGAGCTCTGGTGGGGTGAGAGAAAAAGTTGTATTGTAAGGAAATGGTATATTGAAGATAGTTTTGTTTTGTTTTTACTATGGTCTAAGCCCCCAAAACTGTCAGAACATTTTTGTCAGAGTCCACTTTCCTCATTTACTTTGGTTTCTAGTCCCTTTTTCCAAATTTTCCTCAACAGTTATGTGTTTTTTATCTTAACTCAGAAAGAGACTGAAAAGTAGGACAACAAGGAAGTACTCATGCTCTATTGTTTGATTTTGTCCATAGGACATGATAGCTAATGTCCCTTCTTGAGTGTTTTCGAGGTATTCCAAGCATGAACATTTTATTTACCTTGTGTAATATGTTGTGGGCTTTTATAATACAGAAATAACACATCCATTTTTCTTAAAATATTTCAGGGTAGTAGAAATTGCAGCCTGCCACTCTGCCCACACATCTGCTGCCAAGACCCAGGGTGGTCATGTGTACATGTGGGGCCAGTGCCGGGGCCAGTCAGTGATCCTGCCTCATCTCACCCACCTCTCCTGCACAGATGATGTATTTGCCTGCTTTGCCACTCCTGCCGTCTCCTGGCGCCTCCTGTCTGTTGGTAAGAAAGGCTAGGGCTACTTAATTCCACCCAGGAAGAATCATCCTGTCAACTGACCAGTTTTCCTGCATATTTGCTGGTTATTTGCCCTTTTAGGTTCTAGAATGTTTTATTCCCCATTAAATTTAACCTTTTCTTAAATTAGATTTACTTAATGAAATTTATTGATATGTTATAAAACATTACATGGATTATTTTATCCCTTTAAGTGTTTTCATTTTAATTGAAAGGTAAAATTCATATGTTACATAAAATTAACCATTTTAAAGTATACAATTCAGCATTTAGTTATTCACAAAGTTGTGCAACCTTGATTGATATCAAGTTCTAAAACAGTTTTATCAACCTAAAACAAAACCCTGTACCTGTTTAGCAGTCACTCTATGCTCCCTTTCCCCCAGCCACTGGCCAGTTTGCTTTTTATTCCTATGCATTTACCTCTTTTGGACATTAATGTAAATGGGATAATACAGTGTGTAACATTTTGTGTCCAGCTTCTTTGACTCAACCTTTTTGAGACCCATTCATGTTGTAGTATATATTAATACTTCATTGTTTTTTATAGTGAATAATATTCCATTGTATGTATATACCACATTTCATTTATCCATTGATCTGTTGAAGGATATTTGGATGCTTTCCAATGTTATATTCAAAACAGTGTTATTGTGAATAATGCTGTTATGAACATTCATGTACAGATATTTGTGTGAATAACCTGTTTCTAAGTATTTTTATTGTTATACTAAAATTATTATGTAATTTGATATAATATGAACCAAAAATGAATTTTAGAAAAAGTGAAGAACTTGTGGTTTTGAAGGTGATGTCTTAGCCTCACCTTTTCTCCCTTTTTCTTTCAACCAATTTTAAATACATTTATTTTAGAGGGGCATCAAAACAAAGATATTATAAAGGGTACTAGAAATCAGGGTGTTTTTTTCTGAGTAGACATTAACAGAGATCTTAATTTCTTTTTATTGTTCATTTCTGCCTTTTTCTTCCTAGTCATTTATTCATTTATATGAAGAGGAAAGAAATAGGTCATAATGCATCAAGTTTTAGCATTAGCGTAGCTCTTGATGACCAAGGGGTTTGGGTTGCTCAGCAATTGATATTGAAAGCTAGTCTTATAATACATGTCATCCTGAGTTGTGTCAGACAGCTGGAGCTGTCCCCTCATCAGGTGACCAGTCTTTAGTCTTACAGGCAAGAGTATATTTAAGCAGAGTTAAGCTGCTATTCAACTTAAAGTGAAACATATTGAACATTTTCAGATTTTTTAAATAATACAGCAGTTTTTTTACAGTGAATATTGTGATTAGAAAAATTTAGTTCACCATAAAAATCCTAGAAGACAACAGGTGTTTCTTAGCAATAATTTTCTCTTAGCAATAATTTTTTCTGATATATTGCCTCAGGCAACAGAATAAAAAGCAAATGTACTCATCATCTAAAAAGCGAAGGAAACCATCAGCAGGATGAAAAGACAATCCACTGAATGGGAGAACATATTCATCAATAATACATCTATCTGACAAGGGTTGTATATCCAAAATTTATAAAGAATGCAGAGAGCTCAACATCAAAAAAAAAAAACAATTAAAAGATGGGCCAAGGAACTGAATAGACACTTCTCCAAAGAGGACGTGCACATGGCTGTTAGACATATTAAAAGGTAATCAATGTCACTAATCATCAGAGAAATGCAAATTAAAACTACAGTGAGTTATCTTCTCATGCCTGTTAAAATGGCTGTCGTCAGTAAATCGACAAAAAACAAGTGTTGTAAGGATGTGGAGAGAAGGGAACCCTCATGCAGTATTGGCAGGAATGCATATTGGAGCAGCTAATGTGGAAAACAGTATGGAGTTTTCTCAAAAAATTAAAAATGGAACCGTTGGATGTCAGAGGAAGGGCGGTGTGAAAGATCCCTTGAACTTTCAATAGTTGAAGATCTATAACTCAACAAAGGATTCCCTGCTCAACACACAAAATGCCTGAGAGATCCACACATTGAAACATCTAAAGGTAGGTGAGCCAGAACAAATGGAAACAATGAGAACGTAGAAGGACTGAGACGATCCACAGATACAGCCTTGCAGCTGGAAGCTCTTGGTGGGGCTTAGCCTGGAGAGGGGAGGAATTCAGTTGTAGGTGGTGCGTCCTTCAGCCAGGAGGAGCAAAGAGATTTGAAGGAACAAAGTGATTCTTGCAGGAGTGAACAGTGGGAGCTTCAGCTGAACCTAGAGACCTGGGCAAGGACACAGCACAAGGGTGGGGCCACGGTTGTTGGGTGGCAGGATTCCAGAAAGAGGAACAAAGCCATGGAGCCCTACCATCCCTAGTCTTCCAGAGCTCTCCTCCCTTCACCCTTGGTATCAGATTGTGGAGCAAATTATCTGCAACCCAAGACCTGCTATTATAGAATCACATTTTTCCCTGAGCAAAGGATACACTCTGTGACCTATCCTGGGATGCAGAGAGGACCCTGTGGAGGTCTGAGGTTGCTATTACCTGGAGGACAAAACAACAAGGAAGCCTGCCTATTCCCCAAACCTACCCCTCTTCTACATATTTATAGCATTTGGCTGTGGAGGGACTTCACAGAACTAAAAAGTTTGTAATTCAGAGCCACCTACTGGAAAATAAAAGAAAGACCTCTTTGTATTAATCTGCTAGAGAAGTACCACTTATACATAGATGCCTAGAAAGAAGAAATCCATCAAATACCATGAATAACAGAGGTAGCAAGGCAGCTCAGGAAGAAAATAATCTCTGGAAAACATACTTGAAGACATGGAAATATGTAGTATAAATGACAGAGAATGCAGGATTGTGGCTTTGAAAATGCTCAACAAGAAGCGAGAAAATATAGTCAATTTAATGCACTCAGATAACAAATAAAACGAGTGTATTATGAAACAGATTGAAAGTTTAAAAAAGAACCAAATAAATTCTGGAGGTGAAGAACTCATAAAAGAATGAACTAGTGAGCACAGAAAATACAGCTGACCAAATGGTGGAAATAATTATTTATATGGAAGATAGAAATCTAGAAATGATGCAGAGAGAAAAAGAGAAAGACTTGGGCATAAAAAAATGAAAGATCTCTCCAAAAACTATCTGACTCCATCAGAAAGTACAATATAAAAATAATAGGCATACCAGAAGAAGAACAGAGGGAGAAGGGAATGGAGAGTGTATTTAAGCATATGGAAAGTGCTAGACTCTCAAATTCAAGAGACAAATACAACACCTAGTTACCTCAGTCCAAAGAGGCCTTCTTCAAGGCACATCATATTAAAACTATCAAAAATTAATGACAGACTTCCGGTCAAGAGGGAGGTGTAAGTAAACATGCTCCATCTCCTTGTGCAGCCACAGATAGAATTACAGCTAGACATCAAAACAAATAACACCCAGAACCATCATAAAATCAATTTGTATGGAAGTACAACAACCAAGGATATAAAGAAGCTACATTCATCCAGATTGGTAGGAGGGGTGGAGCTGTAGAGACAGGTGGGGAGGCATGGAGATGCAGTGTGATGCAGAGAGGTAGCAGCAGCAGTGAAATAGGCAGTCCGACATTCACATGTGGTAGATAAAAGTCTGGAGGGACACCTTGGGAGTGATCGATTATAGCTCTACACCAGACCATACAGCCCAGGGTTCCAGCACCAGGAAGATAAATGCCCAACTTCTGGCTGTAAAAACTAGTGGGGGTTGGGTCAGCATAAGATTTTCAGGAGATTCTGCTTAAAGAGCCTGCACAATCTTAAAACATATGCAGACCTGTCTCTTCTGGGATTCAGCACCAGGGCAACAGGTGGAAGGGCACCAGTTGCTCAGAGCAAGTGCCAAGCAAAACTCCAGAAGCCAGACAGTAGCATTGTCCACTCCCCAAGCTCACCCCCAACACAGAGCCACAAAGCAGTGAAATAGGCTGCCCCACCCTGATGATTACCTCAGGTTCTGCCCCATAAAATGTACAGGTGCCTTTTCTACAACAGGCTGTGCTACTAAGGTAGGGAGTCAAAGCAGCTATACCTAATTCACAGAAACAAACACAGGGAGGGTGCCAAATTGAGGAGACAAAGAAATATGGCCCAAATGAAAGACCAGAGTAACACCCCAGAAAAAGAACTAAAGAAAATGGGGATAATCAACCTGTCAGATACAGAGTTCAAAACACTAGTGATCAGGATGCTCAGAGAACTCATTGAGTACAGCAACAAAATTAAAAAGACCCAGGAAGAAATTAAGGTTACAGTAAGTGAAATAAAAGTATATAGGGAATCAACAGTGGAGGGGATGAAGTTGGGATTTTAGATCAATGATTTGGGACATAAGGAAGAAATAAACATTCAAGCAGAACAGCAAGAAGAAAAAAGAATTATAAACAAGAATAGTATAAATTGCCTCTGGGATATCTCTAAGCACACCAACATCCAAATTGTAGGGATGCTAGAAGAAGAGGAAGAACAAGGAATTAAAAACTCACTTGAAAAAATAATGAAAGGAAACTTTCCTAATTTGGTGAAGGAAATAGACATACAAGTTCAGGAAGCACAGATGGTCCGAAACAAGTTGGACCCAAAGAGAAATACACCAAGACACATCATAATTAAAATCCCACAGGTGAAACATAAAGAGAGAATATCAAAAGCAGTAAGAGAAAAGCAGAGTTACCTACAAAGGAGTTTCCATAGTCTGTCAGCTGATTTCTCAAAAGAAACTTTGCAGGTGAGAAGGGAGTGGCAAGAAGTATTCAAAGTGATAAAAAGCAAGGTCCTACAACCAAGTTACACTACCCAGCAAAACCATTATTTAGAATGGAAGGGCAGATAAAGTGCTTCCCAGACAAGGTAAAGCTAAAGGAATTCATCATCACCAGAACATTATTACATGAAATTTTAAAGGGACTTATCTAAGAAAAAGAAGATCAAAACTATGAACATTAAAATGGCAACAAATTCGCAACTATCAACAACTGAAAACAACCAACCAGAACAGGAGTGGAATCATAGATATGGACATCATTTGGAGGGTCATCAGCTGGTAGGCAGAGGGAGAAGAGAGGAAAAGGTGCAAGAATTAAGAAACATAATTGGTAAGTAAAAAAAAAAAAATAGGGCAATGTTAAGAGTACTATAGGAAATGGAGACACCAAAGAACTTATATGCATGACCCATGCAGATGAACTAAGGGGGCAGAGTAGATTGCTGGAGGGAATGGAGAGGGGGCAAAGGAGGAAAAATTGGGTCAACTGTAAAAGCAGAATTAATAACACTTTTAAAAATTAATGACAAAGGATTCTCAAGGCAGCCATGGAAAAGAAGAAAGTAACCTATAAAGGAAAGCCCTTTAGAATATCATTGCACTGCTTAGCAGAAACTTTATAAGCCATAAGAGTGGACCAAATATTCAAACTAATGAAAGAGAAATTACCAGCCAAGAATAATATAATATTTAAAGTTATTCTTTATATATGATGGAGAAATAAAGACATTTCCAGACATCCAGAAGCTGAGGAAATTTATCGTCAGAAGACTTCTATTGCAGTAAATACTCAAGGGAGTTATTCTACCTGAAACAAAGAACAAAATGTCACAAAACTACCAGCAAGATCACCAACAAACAGCCTAAACAAGGATATAATTTGGGACACCAAAAACATAAAAGGGGAGGGTGTAAAGGTCTTAATTTATAAAGCAGGATGGAGATCAGATGCATTCAAAAGAAAAAGGACTACTGTATACATGAAACTTTCTTTTTTCATAAACCTAATGGTTATCACATACAAAGTCTCCCAAACTGAGACACGTAGCTTAAGAAAAAGAGGAAATAAGTATGGAATATCACCAAACAAAAACAACAGACAGAAACACAAAGGAAAAGATCCAATGGAGGAACATAGCTACCCAGAAAACAACACACAAACTGGCTGTAGGAAATTCTCAAACATCAATAATCACCCTAAATTGGACTGAATTCACCAATACAGAGGTACAGGTTAGCAGATTGGATCAAAAATCAAAACCCAAGCATATGCTGCCTCCAGGAGACACATCTAAGCTGCAGAGACAAAGTTAGAATCAAAATGAAAGGGTTGAAAATAATTACACAAAAAATATCCACAGAAAGTAGGTTTAGCCATACTTATGTCTGATAAAACATTTCAAGGTAACAAAGGTAAGAAGAGACCAATATTGACATGTTATGATGATAAAGGGAACACTGCATCAAGAAGACATAACACTTCTCAATATTTATGCAGCCAGTCAGAGAGCACCAAAATATCTATAGCAACTACTAACACAACTAAAGGGAGAAACAGGCAAAAAGAATCATAATTGGGGATCTTCATACTCCTTTGATAGCTCTAGATAGATCATTCAAACAGAAAATCATTAATGAAATACAGACCTTAAGTGACACATTAGAGAGACCAAATGGACATAATGAACATTTACAGAACCTTTTATCCTAGAACATCAAATTATACATTCTTCTCCAGTGCACATGGAGCAGTCTTAGGGATAGACCTTATTTGGGGTAACAAAACTAGCCTCCTAAAATTCAGGAAGATTGAAATTATACCAGATATATTCTCTGAAAACAATACTTTGAAATTGAAAATCAACTGCAAAAAGGAAGTAGAGAAGCCCATAAATATGTGGAGATTAAACAACATACTATTAAAAAATCAGTGGGTTGAAGAAAAAGGTGACATCGAAAGATACAGAGAGACAAATGAGAATGACTATGACATAGTTATAAGAGGGAAATATATGGCTCATCTTAAAGAACTAGAAGAACAAAACCAATCCAAAATCAACAGAAGAAAGGAAATAATGAATATTAGAGCAGAATTGAATGAAATAGAATACAAAAGACTGTACAACAAATTAATGCAACAAAGAGCTGGTTCTTTGAAAAGATTAATAAAATTGAAAAAATTGGCTGGACTCACTAAGGAAAAAAGAGAAAAGTCTCATATAGATTTACAAACAAAATCAGAAATGAAGGAGGTGATGTTACCACAGACATCATAGATACACACAGAATAATACTGGGATACTATGAAAGACTGTATGCCACCAAATTCAATAACCCAGAAGAAATGGGTAAGTTCCTAGAAATACATAACCTTCCTAGACTGAACTATGAAGAATTGAAAAAATCTAAATAGATTGCTAAACAGTGAAGTAATTGAAACAACCATCAAAAACCTCCCCAAAAATAAGTGTCCAGGAATGGATAATTTAACCAATGAATTCTTCCAAACATTCGTCAAAGAAGATTTGATATTTATCCTCTCAAACTCTTCCAAAAAATTGAAGAAGAGGCAATACTTCCCAACACATGTTATGAGGCCAACCTAACCCTGATTACCAAAATCTGGCAAGGATACCACAAAAAAAGTAAATAACAGACCAAAAATTGCCCTGACTGCTGTGGCTCAGTGGATTGAGCACTGGTGTGCAAAGCAAAAGTTGTCAGTTCAGTTTCCAGTCAGGGCACATGCCTGGCTTCCAGGCCAGGTCCTCAGTTGGCATGCAAGAGACAACCAGTTGTTGTTTCTCTTGCTCACTGATGCTTCTCTCCCTCTCTTTGCCCCTCCCTTCCCTTCTGTCTGAAAATAAATAAACAAAATATTTAAAGAATAAAAAAATAAAGATACAAGAATCCTAAGCAAAATACTAGCAAATCAGGCACAACAAAACATTACAAAAACCATACATCACAATCGAGTTTGGTTCATTGCAGGGGCACAAGGATTATTTAACATATGTAAATCAATCAATATAATACACCACATTAACAAAACAAAGGGTGAAAATCATAGGATCTTATTAATAGATGCAGAAAAATCATTTGATAAGATTCAACATCTATATATGATATAAACAATAAAATGGGTATAGAAGGAAAGTTCCTCAACACAATAGAGGCCATATATGACAAACCCTCAGCCAATATCATACTCAATGGTGAAAAACTGAACCCTTTTTCTCTAGAATCAGGAACAAGACAAGGATGTCCACTCATTACTGTTTTTCAGCATAGTTTTGGAAGTCTTAGCCAGAGCAATCAGGCAAAAAAATAAAATAAAATGAAAAGCATTCAGTAAGAGGTAAAAGTGTCACTTTTTGGAGATGACATGATTCTGTTTAAGGAAAACCCTTAAAGACTACACCAAAATTCTAATAGAAACAATAAACAGTAAAGTTGAAGGATCCAAAGTCAATATACAAAAATCTACTGTTTTCCTATATATTAACAATGAAACTTCAGGAAAAGAAATGAAAAAACAATTGTTTTTGTAAGTGGAACCAAAAGAGTTAAAATACCTGGGGATAAACTTAACAAAAGATGTAAGGGACCTATGCACTGAAAATTACAAAGCATTGTTAAAAGAGAATGGAGAAAGACACAATGAAATGGGAAGATAATCCATGTTCATGGATTGGAAGAATCAACATAGATAAAAGGGCATATCACCCAAAGCAATATCTGTATTGCATTTAATCCCCATCAAAATCCCAATGTTATTTTTTTAAAGAAGTAGAACAAAAACATCAGATTTGTATGGAACCACAAAAGACCCCAAATAGTCAAAGCAACCCTGAGAAATAAGAACAAAGCCAGAAGTATCATACTACCTGACTTCAGATTACACTACAGAGCTACAATAATCAAAATAGCATGGTATTGGGGGGGGTGGAAACAGACACACTGACCAATAGCCCAGAACTGAGAGCCCTGAAATAAAACTACATGTATATGGGCAAATAATTTTTGACAAACAAGCCAAAAACACACAATGGAGAAAAGAAAGCCTCTTCAATAAATGGTGTTGGGGATTTTCCTGCCATTGAGAAGTTGCACAGAGGTGGAGGCTTGTATGCATTCAAGATTCAACTCCACCCATAATCCACTGTTATGGCTGAGGAAGGCATTACTGCTGGAGGTGTAATGGACATTAATACTGCTTTACAAGATGTGCTGAAGACCACCGTCATCCATGATGGCTTAGCATGTGGAATTTGTAAAGCTTCCAAAGCCTTTGTGTGTTTGCATACAACTGATGGGCCTCTGTATGTCAAGTTTGTGGCTGCTCTTTGTGCTAAACACCAAATCAATCTAATTAAGGATGACAGCAATAAGAAACTAGGGGTATGGGTAGATCTTTTTAAAATCAGCAGAGTGGGAACGCCCCATAAAGTGGTTGGTTGCAGTTCTGTCATAGTTAAGGACTAGACAAGGAGTCTCAGGCAAATGATGTCATCAAGGGTACTTCAAATGCAAGACATGAACAAATAAACTCTGCATTTGTTTCTCAAATGAATAAAAATGGTGCTTGGAAAATTGGAAAGCCACATGCAAAAGAATGAAACTCGACATAGTTTTCATTTTTGTACATAGTTTGTCCCATGTACAAAAACTAATTCAGAAATGTATCAAAGACCTAAGTATATGATCTGAAATAATAAATCACATAGAAGAAAACATAGGTACTGAACTTATGGACCTTGGTCATGGAGAACATTTTGTGAATTTGATCCCAAAGGAAAGGGAAATAAAGGTAATAATAAATGAATAGGATTATATCTAACTAAAAAGGTTCTGCACAGCAAAAGAAACTGCTAACAAAACAAAAAGGCAAACAACCTAATGGGAAATGAAATTTGCAAACACCCACTCCAACAAAGGGTTAATATCCAAAATGTGGGTATATAAAGAGCTCATAGAACTCAACCCCAAACAAAAAAACAGTGCAATTAAAAAATGGGCAGAGGACTTGAATAGACATCTCTCTCACGAAGACATACAAACATTCTGCAGATATATGAAAAGCTGTTTAACTTCTCTAGCTATTAGGGAAATGCAAATCAAAACCACAATGAGATATCTTCTCTCACCTGTTATGACTATTAACAAGAGAAGTAATAACAAGTGTTGGAGAAGTTACGGAGAAGGGAGCCCTCATTCACTGCTGTGACAACATAAACTGATACAGCCACTATGGAAAACAGTATGGCAGTTCCTAAAAAAAAAAAAAAAAAAAGGAATATCTACACAAAAACCTCAAAAAACATGTATTGGCAAAGATATATGCACCTCTATGTTTATTGCAGCATTTTTCACAGTGGCCAAGACATGGAGACAACCAAAGAAATTGTCGTTCAGTAGAGGGTTGGATGAAGAATGTATGGTACGTTATACTATGCATTACTACTTAGCCATACGAAAGGATGAAATACTGCCATTTGTGACAACACGGATGGAACTTGAGAATATTATGCTAAGTGAAATAAGTCAGTCAGAAAAGGCTAAGAACCATATGGTTTTACTAATATGTAGAATCTAGTGAGCAAAACAAAGTAATGAACAAAATAGAAACAGACTATAGAGAACAGATCAATAGCTATCAGAAGGGAAGGGATTTGAGGGATTGGATGAAAAAGGTGAATGGATTAAGCAAAAACAAAAACAAAAAGAACTCATAGACAACATTTTGGTGATTACTAGAGGGAAAGGGGTTAGGGAGAGGTAGAAGAGAGTATAAGGGGGATAAATTGTGATGGAAGGAGACTTGACTTTGGGTGATGAACACACAATACAATATACAGATCATGTACTAGGGAATTATACCTGAAACCTCTATAATTTTACTGACTGTGTCACTCCAATAAATTCAATTAAGAAAAAAAATTTTATTCACATAATGGGACTATATATCCATAATCACACATACGCATCACAGCCAAAGCACTCTGCCACACCTTCAGATCACATGCTACTAAACTTGCACCTGTTTATAAAAAGCTTCCCCAGGTTTTTGCATCTTAAAATCCTGATCCCAAAAGACATCCTTTTCTGAAGAAATATCCTAACATTTTTTAATGTTAAGCTTGGAAAAAATGTGGTCATTGAATATAATTCTTAGATGATTACTTTTCCTCTACTCACTAAGTCAGAGTGGTTTTTTTTTTCCCCACAATTTCAGATGAGTGATAGGAAGGGTCAGATAGTGCCAGAAGCTAAGAGAAGGAAAGGGTTATTTCAACCCTTAAGACAATGCAGAAGTACACACTGATAAGTTGTTTTCTGGATAGTCTCTATAGCAATCTGGACTCCTGGACTTTGCCCATCTTAGTTGTTTCCTTTCTTTTATTTACCTGTGATCCAGGTTATAGGGTCAGAGAAAACAGGTTTTTTGAGAGATTGCTAACCTCTCCTCCCTAGCCAAGTAAGCTTTGCATCGTTTGTGGGTTGGGTGGCAATAGGTTAAGGTAACAGGGCTCAGACAAGTGATAATTTCTTGTGAGATTCTGATAATAAAGCTAACTCATGGATAAGTTTGTGTTAGGTTTCAGCGTAGGTTTTAGTAGTTGTCTCTCCTACAAGAATTGCCCTGGTAACACCAGGTTACTGAGGGACATAGCTAAGTTATTTTATTTAAGTCATCACTTTTATCTTGTGGGCAGCCACAACCTATCTCTCTCCACAGTAGCTTCGTTCAGTGCTGATGAGAGTAGAGTCTCTGGAACTTTATTTCCCTGTTAGCCTTCTTGTTTTCCTTTGTGCATGCATATAAAGCACAAGAAAGTGTTACATGGATTTCTACTAGTGCCTTTACTTTTCTTCATCGTAACACAAATCTACTTACATATATCTGTAATCGTAATACCAGTTCTCATCAGGCAATGAAATCCTGTTTTTGAAAAACTGTTTTCCTTAAGTATATATTATTACTAATTAATTAGCTCTGTTTTTAGATAGTGTGTAAGGATTATTTGTACATTAATTTATAGGGCTGAGAGGGATGTTTAGACTTCAGGTATCAAGGGAAAAATGTTTCCCTGTGTAAGAACATGACTTAGCATTACCACTTAAGTGATGAGTTTGTTTCTTGTGACTCCTTAAGTAAATATAGTAACCACTTGAAACTACCCCCAAAGCAGGGCAAAGGTGTTGTTAGTGTTACAATCAAAGAAAATTGTCAGGTTCTTAGCCCTAGAAGAAAATCACTCAAGTTTTTAACAAGTAGTTATATAATCATGGGCTACCTATAACTTTTATTTTTTAATACATATTTCTAATGACTAATTTAGTATATATGATTGGTTTTGGCCTTTTCAAATATGCATTTCTTGGTAGATTATACACTCAGGATGCTTATTTTAATACTGTGAAACAGATTTGTCAAGTAAGGCATGAACTTTTTTGAAAATAATCTAGTGAAATTATCCATCATGCCAATAATTATCTTTTTGATGTCTGCCACATGTTGGATATACTTTCTCAGCTTTCTCTATTAATTATGTGTTCATTGCCTCCAGAGCATGAAGACTTTTTAACAGTTGCAGAGTCCCTGAAGAAAGAATTTGACAGTCCAGAAACTGCTGACCTAAAGTTTCGAGTTGATGGGAAATATATCCATGTCCATAAAGCTGTTTTGAAAATCAGGTATTTTTGCAGGAGATAACCTTACTTTCTCTTTATAACATCTGTTTCTTTGTTATTCCATAAATTGGGTACTGATAAGAAACAGCCTTGGCAGTAGAGAGAAATGGCAAACTTCTTTTTGCAGATAGTATCAATCCACTGAGTATTGAAGAGTTTTGTATGTACATGTGCCTTTTTGAAAAAGCATTATGTACCATTGGTCTATATTGTCTTTAAATGAAGGATGTTGTGAATATTTATTTCCAAGATACCTATTTACATGGTCAAAAAACCCACAAAAGATTGTCAGGGAAAAGTATATATATGAGGTCTGTATGGGAAAAAATGCAGCCATTGTTAATATGATGAGAATAGTTGACACCACATCAAGGTAACCTAGCAGCCAAGGAGAGTGGACTAGAATGCGCATGCATAAACAATGACAACTTCACTGTACTATTTAGTGGGGTAGATGCTGTTGAGTGGTCATTTGTACTGTGTGGCCGTCATATTCAAAATGACTGAGTAGAGCAATGAATCTGCATTCAATTTTGAATTAAGTTTAAACATTCCTCCACAGAAACTATTCGAATGATTTAGAAGGCCACAGCTATGGGCAGCTGGTGTTTGGCAGCTTCATCACGACAAAACTCTTGCTCATGCATTATGTCTTGTGCAGAGTTTTTTGGCAAAACATTGAATCACCCAGGTGACTCAGCCCCCCTACAGCCCAGATTTGGCATCCTGTGACTTCTAGCTTTTCCCAAAACTAAAATCACTTTTAAAAGGGAAGAGATTTCAGACTGTTGAAGAGATTCAGGAAAATACAACAAGGTAGCTGATGGAGATTCCAACAAAGGATTTTGCTAAGTGTTTTGAACAGTGGAAGAGATGCTGGGAGAAGTGTGTGAGGTCCCAAGTTGTCTACTTTGAAGGGGACTGAAGCAACATTGTTCTATGTACAATGTTTCTTGTATCTTAATAAATGTCTGTAATAAATTTCATTACATGCCTGGATACTTTCTGGATAGACCCTGTGTGCCTCCTTTTGCTCTTAATTAAAGTCTCATTTTTCTCAAGGAGAAAACTCTCATAGTCAGGAATGCTGGTCTTCTGGCCTGAGGGACATCTAATTCCCAATGAAAGAAAAGTTCTTTAGCTGTATTTCAGGAGTTCTTTGTATAAAGGTGATGGAACTTTGTATTTATTAATAACTGTTTGGACTGTTGCTCCCTGATGTTGCCACTACAGAGAAAGAATCACAAAAAGTCAGACCATTGAGAATTAAACTGGCCATTTACAAGTGTTTTTATAAGTGTAGTTAAAAACCTATTTACAAAATAATTTGTTTAAGGGAATCAAAAAGCTCTATGTCATTCATTACTTAAGGGAATAAATATCTGCACCAAGGTATTCATTGAAAAATGAACTGGAAATGTTTCTGTTTGAACCTGTGGACAACCAGGCTATTCCTTTCTTGTATAGTTTTCTGACCCATTTTTATCTATTATTCCTTGCTTAGACATTCATTTCTTTTTACTCCTCAGATGAAGTAATTCCTTAGGTAAGTGGAGCCATTCTTCTGGAATTCTGGATGAAGTTTGAAAACATTTCATGTTTATTTACACTGTATCTCATTTTAGAAGGATTTAAAAAGATGATATTTTTTTAAATTATGAAGTATGTCATACTTTAAGAAAATCTAATATTCAGAAATCAGTTCCTCATACAGGTGGATTTCTACATGTTAATACAATACAAAAAGACCCACCTAGGTTTATTGATATTATGGCTGTCCTAGTGAATGTGTTTTATAAATACAGTAGTAACAGGCTTGGAAGGAGAGGAAAGGGAGCAGGGCAACGTAAAAAACCAAAATAGGAAGTGACGGCCATTTTGAACATGAGTCAGAAAAAAAAGGAAAATTGTCTGTAAGGTAATACAGCAATAATCAGTTTAACTATAATTCAGTTAACATTAAAACAGTTTTAAGAGTATGCTGACTGCATAAAACAAAACAAAAGAAAGCCAAATGAGTCATTTGAATGTGTTACTTTGTAGTGATAAGTTTGAACTCTCATTTCTGAATTTCTTTTAATATCATTGTTTAAAATATATTTCTGTACATCTTTTAAAAAGAAAGTGAGCAAAAAGTCTTTATATGAGGGCGGACTGCCAAATAGAATTAGTAGCACTGCAGAAGTGCTAGGTTCTCCTAGGCTCTACATATAATTCTTAATATATCATAGGAGGTACTCATTAAAAATGAAAGTGAGTATATGTAAAAGGCAAATATAAAAATTCTTGTACATGGAATATTTTTTAGGGTGCTAAAGATTCATGATCCTAGTGTGTACAAAGCCAATTATAATAGTTAAAGATACCTATAATACATGCTTATCTTACTCCACCAACTGAATTGACTTTTGCTGTTCTATTTTAGGTGTGAGCACTTTCGATCCATGTTCCAGTCTTATTGGAATGAGGATATGAAAGAAGTGATAGAAATAGACCAGTTTTCTTACCCAGTGTATCGTGCCTTTCTCCAGTTCCTCTACACAGACACAGTTGACCTACCACCTGAAGATGCTATAGGTACTTCAGCCACATTGGGAGTGGCCAGATCACATGGTCAAAAATATATATCCTCTTCTTCTTATGGTATTGAAATATGAAAAGTTTCAGATTCATTGGCTTTTATATGGCTTTTTAAAATATTTGAAATAAATATTTTTTAAAATAACATTGCATGGTTGTGGTTAATAATTATGGACACAGTTTATGACTGTGGACTTATTTTAATTTTTTAATGTTGAAGTATAATTTCATAATGGATTTAGCATGCCATTTTGGAAACAAGTTGAGGGGGGAAACTTCATTTTTTCCTTTTCTTTGTACCATAATAAAAATTGTATAAAGTGAGTACAAAGAGTGGTATGTTTGGGAAGTCAGGGAGGTAGAAAGTAACAAAGAGAACTTATTTAATTGAACTCTGAATATTATTCATTAAGAAACTTATACTGAATTACCAGCATAACTGTGCATCAAAATTAAATATATACATATAAACTATAGAAGATTATCATAAAATGTATAAAAATGTCTACACTTTTAACTTTTAGGCCTTTTGGATTTGGCAACATCTTACTGTGAAAACAGACTGAAAAAACTTTGTCAGCGCATTATCAAGAGGGGAATCACTGTGGAGAATGCCTTTTCATTATTCTCTGCTGCAGTCAGATATGATGCAGAGGTAATGTAAAACCACAAACGGGAACTTAAACCACTATTAACTACCCGTGTGCTCCTTTCTCTCCTTTTTCTCACTGAGACAAGGACTATGATGAGTAACTTCCCTTACATTTAGGAAATCAGTGAAGTGAATGATCCCTGAATAATGAAATCCGGTCTTGCTCCTTCATTCTCTGTTCATTGTTTCAAAAATGGTTATTCCTCTACTTTCATTTTTAACTAAGATAAGAAACTGAGGTCCCAGCAGCTGTACTACAGGTTGGAATATGAAGTGCACACCTGATTAGACTAACAAACAGCATATTTTAGTTCATCAAGGTCAGCATTTATATATTTTTTAAGACCCACTTTGTTGTCTCCCTGCTACCCTGTCATTAGTCATGGATGCCATATGGTTTATATCTGTGTATGCTCTGAAATTCTATCATTGTCTAATTATAACACATTATTCATGTGTGAAGAACTTGTTCAGGACTCTTTGTTTGTTTTGCAATGGATTGGATTCTTTTGGGATTCATGGATTTATAAAGAGTCTGTGAATGAAGGGGCTTTTAGGAGTCTGAAATTTTGTTTATATGTGTTTTCTCTTTTTATCTTTTTTTTAGAGAGAGAGAGAGAGAAACATCAATTTGTTGTTTCACTTATTTATGCATTCATTGGTTGATTCTTATGTGTGACCTGATTGGGAATTGAACTCTCAACCTGGGTGTGTTAGGACAACACTCTAACCAACTGAGCTACCCTGCCAGGGCCTTATGTGTATTTTTTTGAAGTGAAGAACCAAAGCATCATCGGATTGTAAGCTCCTCATGAGTAGGGACTTGATCTTATTCATCTGCATACCCTACAGGGCCTGGCACATAATAGGTTTGGGATAATAAATGTTTGTTGAACCACCTGAAGGGAGCTTTAGGCTGGTATGGTTGATTTTACAAATTCATAGGGAATAACAGGTAGAGAGCAGTAGTTTTGGAGTTCAAGATGTCTAGTTAGGATATTTACCCTAAGTGGCACAATTTATCTGTTCTTATAAGTATTTTGTCATCACATGATGAGGTAATACCTGATATCAGGAAATTTACCAAACACTACAAAGATCTGCACTATGGCCTTGGAGATGGGTGAAGGACAGACTTCATTTTTATGCAATTAAGAATCAAAGTTGATCATTACGTCTTCTGTTTTCTTTTTTTGTTTGTTTTTTTTAATATATTTTATTGATTATGCCATTACAGTTGTCCCATTTCCCACCCTTTATTCCCCTCCACCCTGCACACCCCCTCACCCACATTCCTCCCCTTTGTTTTATGTCTATGTGTCACAAGTGCTTTACATTCTATATATCCCATACTATTCTTGCCCTCCCCCCTGTCTAGTTTTTATCTAACATCTGTGCTACTTATTCTCTGTACTTTCTACCCCCTTCTCCTCCTCCCACTCCCCTGTTGCTTACCCTCCATGTGATCTCCATTTCTGTGGTTCTGCTCCTGATCTAGCCATCCTCTTAGTTTGCTTTTGTGTTAGGTGTGGTTGTTAATAACTGAGTTTGCTGTCCTTTCCCTGTTCCTATTTTTTATCTTCTTTTTCTTAGATAAGTCCCTTTAATGTTTTATATAATAAGGGCTTGGTGATGATGAACTCCTTGAACTTAACTGAGAAGCACTTTATCTGTCCTTCTATTCCAAATGAAAGCTTTGCTGGATAAAGCAATCTTGGATGGAGGTCTTTGGATTTCATGACTTGGAATACTTGTTTCCAGCCCCTTCTTGCCTGTAAGGTCTCTTCTGAGAACTCAGCTGACAGTCTGATGGGAACTCCTTTGTAGGTGACTGTCCCCTCATCTCTTGCTGCTTCTAGAATTCTCTCCTTCATTTTAATCTTGGCTAATGTAATGATGATGTGCCTTGGTGTGTTCCTTCTTGGGTCCAACTTCCTTGGGACTCTCTGTATTTCCTGGACTTCTGGAAGTCTATTGCCTCTGCCAGATTGGGGAAGTTCTCCTTTATTATTTGTTCAAATAAGTTTTCCACTTTTGCTGTTTCTCTTCCCCTTCTGGTACCCCTATACTTTGAATGTTGGAACATTTAAAGATATCCTGGAGGTTCCTAAGCCTCTCCTCATTTTTCTGAATTCTTGTTTCTTCATCCTTTTCTGTTTGGTCATTTTTTTCTTCCTTCTGGTCCACTCCCTTGATTTGAGTCCCAGTTTCCTTTCCATTACTATTGGTTTCCTGTACATTTCCCTTCATTTCAATTAGTTTATCCTTCATATGTTCCTCTACTTTGTGACTAAAATCAACCAGTTCTGTGAACATCCTAATCATCAGTGTTTTGAACTGTGCATCTGATAGGTTGGCTATCTCTTGGTTGCTTAGAAGTATTGGCTCTGCTCTGGGGCTTTGAGCTATTCTTGAGCCGTAATGTTTTGGTCAGGTCATGCCTGTTAGAAATGAGGGGCGGAGCCTTAGGTGTTCACCAGGGTGGGGCAACCCACGTTGCTGGGTTATGATGCTGTATGTGTGGGCGCAGTCAGAGAGGGGCAATGGCATTTGTTCCGCTCTCTCTCTGATTTTGGTCCCCTCTGCTGCTTCCCACAAGCAAACCGGGTACCCCTGGTGCCAGCTCCCGGGTGGGTGGGCCTGTGCACCCTCCAGGACCCTGTGGGTCTCTCCAACAAACTGTCTTTGAGCCTGGGAGCTTCTCCCAGCACCTGAACCCTGAAAGTTTTTCTAGTTGGTGCTTTTAGGCTTTAATTCCTGTCACTGGGGCCCTAGCCTGCTCGGTCTGTCTCACTGCTTGCTCCTTCACCTGGTTTATCTGAGTGTGAATCTGTGACCTCGGTCAGCCAGCCACCTGGTCTGCCTGTTGCCACCCCATGCCTGGGATCTGCCAACGGCCGCCTGTGCACCTGGGTCTGCTGGCCACATTTTTCTGTGCAACCCAACTCCACCAGCCGCTGACTCTGCCCCTCTTATTGGTCTGGCTGAATGGTTGGTTGTTGTCAAATATCCATACAGTTCAATTTTCTGTGTTTTGGTTGTGTTTTTGTTACTAAAACTTTGTTGTCTTTAAACTTGGTTGTGCAAAGAGGCACAATGTTTCCACCTATGCCTCCATCTTGGCCAGAAGTCTTAAGTCTTCTATTTTCAATTGTATCCTATTTTTATTTGAAATTATATTATGATTATAAATATTTGATAAGGCCAAATATATGTGACTTTCTCTGTAACCCTTCAATAGAGGGAATAATGATCAAAGGATATATTTTTTAAAGATTTAATTGATACACTTTTTTAGAGATGGGTGGGGAGGGAGAAAGAAAGAGAGTGAACTGTCAGTGTGTGTTTGCCTCTTGCATGCCCCCTTTTGGGGACCTGGCCCACAACCCAGGCATGTGCCCTGAGTAGTAATTGAACCAGTGACCATTTGGTTTTCAGGCCAGCACTCTATCCACTGAGCCACACCAGCTAGGGCCAAAGGATATTTCTAATAGAAAATAAAGTATAGTTTTTTTTCTCCTACCCTTTGATACCATAAGCTTCTTTATGGGAAATGCTATTTATTATTTTATTTTTTTTCTTTTTCTTGAATTAATTGGCGGTGATACTGGTTAACATAATGAAACTGGTATCAGGTGCATGATTCCATAACATGTCATCTGTACATTGTGTGTTCACCACCCTAAGCCAAGTCTTCTTCTATTACCATTTATACCCCTATGCCCTCGTATACCTACCCCTGCTCTGCCTCTGGCAGTCACCACACCATTGTCTGTTCATGAGTCTTTCTCTCCATTTTTTTCTTTCAGCTTAATCATTCCACCTCCCCACCTGGCCCATAAACCTTCCAACCCTCCCTCTCTACAGCTATCAGTCTTCTCTCTATAAGTCTATGTTGCTTGTTCCTTTTGTTCATTAGATTCCACATATGAGTGAAATCATATGGTAATTGTCTTTCTCTTACTGTCTTATTTCACTTAGTATCTTGCTGTTCAGGTCCATCCATGCTGTTGCAGAGTAAGATTGCCTTCTATTTTATGGCTGAGTAGTATTCCATTGTGTAAATGTACCACAGCCTTTTTTGTCTACTCATCTACTGATGATCACTTGGGCTGCTTCCAAATCCTGGATGTTGTAAATAATGCTGCAGTGAACATAGATGTGCATATATTCTTTTGAATTAGTGGTTCAGATTTCTTCAGATAAATTCACAGAAGTGGAATTGCCAGATCACCAGGCAGTTGTATTTTTAAATTTTTGAGGTAACTCTGTACTGCTTTCCACATTGGCTGCACCAGTCACATTCTCACCACCAGTGCTGAGGGTTACCTTTTCTCCACATCCTTGCCAACACTTGTAGTTTGTTAATTTATTGATGATAGCTTTTTCAGACAGGTGTGAGGGGATATCTCGTGGTTTTAATTTGCAAGAAATGCTATTTCTTTAGACTTAAATTTTACCCTATGATATAATTTTTAAATTGGGCAGAGCCTTTTCTCTCCAATTGGTGATTGATTTTAGAATCTTTTCTGTGTTTCTGTATATTCCTTCTCACTGCTGGTGAGTTCCAAATTCTTGGGATGGGATGTTGATGGCTAAAACCACCTGGACAGAGGGAAACATCTTGGCTGTAGTAGTTAGAAATTTCTTCCTCACTTCCAGCTAATGTGTACCTCAGAAAGTTTACAGAAAAAGTCTTATGTCAACTGATCATTTCCTTGATTAGTTTTCTTTTTTTTTCATTTTCAGTATAAATACATTAAAAACTCTCTGTTTTTGAGACCACAAACACATATGGTCCCTCAGAGTCTACTATAATATGAGCATGTACTTAGTACTCAAAAATAAACATCAGGTTAAAAGAATAAATGAATACATTTGAAACACCTAATCACAAAGCTGTGCTTATTAAAAAAACTTTTTAAAAGTCTACCAACACAGTTAATATAGAAAATTAGAAAATAGAAGACAAAAATAAAAAGAATCACTTCTTTTAATGAGAATCACTTCTTTTAATGATTTTTTGTTTCATTTTTAATATGTTTTATTGAATATGCTATTATAATTGTCCCACTTCCTTCCACCCTGCACACCACCTCCCACTGACATTTCCCTCCTTTAGTTCAAGTCCGTGGGTCGTACATATAAATTCTTTGGCTTCTACATTTCCTATACTATTCTATCCTCCCTTCGTCTATTTTCTTTTTTTTTTTTTTAATTTAATTTATCTTTAGAAGGGAAGGGAGGAGAGAGGGAGAGAAATATCAATGTACGGTTGCTTCTTGTGCATCCCCTGCTGGGAATGGCACCTGGTGGGAACTGGCCTGCAACCCAGGCATGTGCCCTGACTGGGAATCGAACCGCGATCTTTTGGTTCATAGGCCCGTGCTCAATCCATTGAGCTACACCAGCCATGGCTTTTTTTAGAGAGAGGGGAAGAGAGGGAGTGAATCATCAGTGACCTGGGTCACAACCCAGGCATGTGCCCTGACTGGGAATCAAACAGGGAACCCTTTGGTTAGCAGGCTGGTGCTTAATACACTGAGCCGCAGCAGCCAGGGCCTGCCTCTGTCTATTTTCTACCCACCATTTATGCTACTTACTCTTTGTATCTTTTTCCCCTCTCTCCCTGTACCACTCCCCCAGTGATAACTCTCCATGTGATCTCCATATCTGTGGTTCTGTTCCTGTTCTAGTTGTTTGCTTAGTTTCTTTTAGGTTTGGTTGTTAATCGCTGTGAGTTTGTTGTCATTTTATTGTTCATATTTTTAATCTTTTTCTTAGATAAGTCCCTTTAACACTTCATAAAATAAGGGCTGGGTGATGATGAACTCCTTTGACTTGACCTTATCTGGGAGGCACTTTATCTGTCCATCCATTCTAAATGATAGCTTTGCTGGATATAGTAATCTTGGATGTAGGTCCTTGCCTTTAATGACTTGGAATACTTCTTTCCAGCCCTTTCTTGCCTGCAAAGTTTCTTTTGAGACATCAGCTGATAGTCTTATGGAAACTCCTTTGTAGGTAACTGTCTCCTTTTCTCTTGCTGCTTTTAAGATTCTCTCCTTATCTTTAATCTGGGGTAATGTAATTATGATGTACTTTTATGTGTGCTTCCTTGGGTCCAACTTCTTTGGGACTCTCTGAGCTTCCTGGAGTTACTGAAAGTTTATTTTCTTTGCCCGATTGGAGAAGTTCTTTTTCATTATATTTTCAAATAAGTTTTCCATTTGTTGCTCTTCCTCTTCTCCTTCTGGCACTCCTATGATTCATATGTTGGGACATTTGAAGTTGTCCCAGCTGTTCCTCAGCCTCTCCTCGTTTTTTTGAATTCTTGTTTCTTCTGTTCTGGTTGAATGTTTATTTTTTCCTTTTGCTTCAAACCGTTGATTTGAGTCCCAGTTTCCTTCTCATCACTGTTGGTTTCCTGTATGTTTTCCTTCACTTCACTTTTCATAGCCTTCTTTTTTTCCCTCTAATTTGAGACCATATTCAACTAATTCTGTGAGCTTCCTGATTACCAGTGTTTTGAACTGTGCATCTGATAGGTTGGCTATCTCTTTATTGATTAGTTGTATTTTTCCTGGAGGTTTCATCTGTCCTTGCATTTGGGCCAATTTTTTTTTTTTTTGTCTTGGTGGGCCTGTTATATAGTAAGGGGTAGAGGCTTAGGTTTTCACTAGGGCAGTGTAACCCTCATTCCTGCATTGCGACACTGGATGTGGGGGAGGGGTCCAAGAGGGACCAGTGCTGCTTGCTCTGCTCTCTGCTGGTTTTGAGTCACTTCCTCTGCTACCCACAATCAAATTGGGCCCTTCTGATGCTAATTTATGGATAGGTAGGTTTGCGTATGTTCTAGGACTTTGTGAGTCTCCCCAATGAACTCTCTCATAAGGCTGGGAGTTTCTCCCATTCCTCAACCAGAGGTTTTGAGCCTTTATTTCCCTGTACTGGAACCCTGGGTTACACAGTCTGTTTCACTCCCCAGTTTATCTGCAGGCAAATGTAGACCCGCCCTATCCACCAGCTGCTGCCTTGCCTACCCAGGTTCTCTAGCCTCCACCTTGCTATGATTCCTTTCTCTAGGTTGCCCATCTCGTGGTTGCCCATCTCTACCCCTCCTACTAGTCTGCATCAGTGATTCTTCTTACACTCCTTGGTTGTTGGACTTGCATACAGTTCAGTTTTCTGGCACTTCTGGTTGTTTTTTGTTTTTAAATTTGTTGTTGTCCTTCTTTTGGTTGTGTGAGGAGGCACAGTGTATCTGTCTACCTACACCTCTATCTTGGCCAGAAGTCTCTTCTTTTGGTTGTGATAAAAGTTACATATTGACTAACGTACTTTTAGATTTTATATCCTTAATGCTATCAAATGTAGTAAGTATATAAATGAAGTCTTTAGAATATAAAAGTAAAACCCACTTACTATATCTGTTAGTTGATAGGAAGCTACTACTAAGCCAGTTGAAATTAACTGCAAAATCTATTGTTTTTCAGGAGCTTAACTTTGGGATACCAGATGACTTTTCCTTCATTCTGTGGGTTGAAATGCTAGGAGATGGAGACTACCTGCTTCTTACATTTCTTCCCTTTTCTATAAATGTTATTGTTGTTCCTCCATACCTCCTTTGACAAGATAATTTTGAAGCAAATGTGCACAAATAAAAGCAACAAAAATGTATGGATCGATACAAAGAATTTTGAAAGTAGCTAACTCTTGTGGAGCCTTTGCGTTATGAATACATTGTCAAACTGTCTAAATTTTAACGCAGTGAAAAAGGACTTGGAGAAGAAGCACTTAAATATTTCTCTAGCACAAATCCAAATAAATATTGACATCAAGGGAGAAAATGGAGTAAAATACTGTCTCAGGATAGTTTTGTGTCACATCATAAAAAATTTGAAATGCTTCTGTTTATACTATTTCAGTAAATTTTTGTTTTCTCTGTATATTTGAACTTTAGGAGAAATAGTTGGGAAGAATTATTTGTTTAACCAGATTACAGAACTTTCTAGAAAATTCTACTTGTTAAGCAACTTATGTCTTAGAATTTTGTTCTTTTGGTAAGCCATAAATATGACTTTAGAAATCTAATCCCAAAATTGGTTTGGGATGTGATATTGGAAAACTTTGTGCTGAAGTCAGATGGTCAGCATTTTTTATTCTTTTTGAGGGCCAAATTAAAAGTTATATATCATCAGTAGATTGTAAATATTTTTTGAGTAGTGAGAGAAAGCACCTTTATTTTTTCCATATTGTTAGATATTTAAGTACATTCTAAAAAAACAAAACCATTTTAGTCTGTAATATTTTATACTCGATATATTATAAAATGAATTCTAGACTTACAGTTTTGGGGTTTTTTATTACAGTTATTTTAACAAGTTTAGACAAAGGTGTGATTCACCATATCTTGCCATCTGAATGTGTCTCAAGGTTGGTTTGTGACATGGAATAACAACTTGTTTTCAGAATATGTATAATGATTGAAATAATTAAATCAAATGTTTAAAAATTTGGAATGATGGTACTTCCTTTTGACCCAGCAAGTCCACTCCTGTGATTATACCCTCAAATCCTTTTGAACACCAGTTCGAAAGGACCTATGCACCCCTATGTTCATAGCAGCATTATTTATAGTAGCAAAGTACCAGAAACAGCCTAAGTGCCTATAAGTAAATGAGTGGATCAAAAAACTGTGGTACATTTACACAATGGAATACTACGCAGCAGAAAGAAAGAAGAAACTCCTACCCTTTGTAATGCATGGATGGAACTGAAGAATATTATACTAAATGAAATAAGCCAGGCAGTGAAAGACAAATACTATATGGTCTCACTTATAAGAGGAACTTAATCAACAGAACAAACAAATGAGCAAAATAGAACCAGAGGCATGGAACAGATTGACAGTGAACAGAGGAGAGGCAGGTAAGGAGGGAAGGAAGGGGAGAAGTCAAGGCACATGTATGAAAAACTCATGGGAATGGACAACAGGTTGGTGATTGTGTGAACAAGGGGTGGGATGGACAGAGGAGAAAAAAGGAAGAAAATTGGGACAATTATAATAGAACAACAATAAAATTTTTAATTAAAAACTTTGGTGTGAAATTATAAATTATTTCAGATAGCAGTTTTAAATTTTTATCTTCCTTAATAATTACAAGTATTTTACACTGTTTGCTTCAGAACCCCTTTCTAATAATTTCACCACAAATTGTCTTAAACATGGACTTTAGTTTCCAAAATACCAACAACACTGCATTAGACCTTGAATCTCCCACTTCCTTATTCCATGGTCCTTGAGAAGACTCTTTCATCCTGTCATGAATTTTATTCATCTGCTGGTGAAGTGATCATTCTTGTTTTATTTAAAGTCCAGCAGTCCTCTTACAGTTGACATATTGGTTGGGTAAGAGTTGCATTTTCTTTTGTTGGCAATTGAAGATCTGTTCATTTGAAGAATGAGGTGAACAGATCATGCAGGTTCTTACAATATTTCAGAATTATCAGAAGGATGTTTATCTAATTCACACATCAGAGCAAACTGCATCAGGGCACTGTGTGAATCAGTTGCTGTGTGAATCAGCTTGGCTCTGGCAGTCTCAAAATTCATGCAAACTTGAGGATTCCAGTTTTCTCTCCCTTCAAGTGCATTCAATGCTTTCTTTTCCATAGATCTGATCTGCCTTCACCAAGGTTCAGTTACTTTTTTAAACAATGGATATTTAGATTATTTTCAGCATTCTCTAGGTATATACTTTTATTGTTTGAAACTGTTAAACATTGTTGAATACTGAGAAATCTCACAAACTGAAACTAATTGAAGGGGAAGAGAAGCTAGTTTGATGTATTTTTATTGATAAGTAAACTGATTTGTAATTGGAAGTGCCATTTGTATTTTTATACTATACAAAAAAGTTCTTAAGGTTTGTGCTTGTAATCTGTAATTAGTAAACTGAAGAAAAACTCATTTCTCATACATACTATAAAGATCTTGTATTCCAAATTAGTCGACACAGAAGTGATAAGATTTTACAGTGCTAGAATTTAGTGTGCTCTTCTTTCTCTTTGAATTTAAAATTATGTAATTAAAAGTTAGTATTTAAAGATCCTTATCTGATAGATTACATGGTTTGAAGAACTTTCTTGCTCATGTCTGGCTATTCCTAAGTTATGTGTAAATTAGTTTTCGGTTGTTGATAAATAAGAGTGAAGTATGACTTGTTTCCCTGTGAAATCTAATTTAGTCCCTAGAGCTATTTATTAACCCTTGAGTTATAGTACCAAGAATAATGCTTTTTCTTTAGTAATAATGTGAGGTAAAATATATATAATTTAACACAGAGCTTTCAGCTGTACATTTATTCTGCTCACTGGGAATCTCTTATCAAAAATATTGATCCAGAGATCTGTTAACATTTTAATGCATTTTGAATTATCTATAAAATGAAACTCTGTAGCAGCTGGCTGATGCACATTAGATGGGGATTATCTTTTACTAGTTATATACCTGCAAGGTGTGGGGGCATTTTTCAGCTAGGAACAGAGGGATCCTTAGGATAAAGAAGTCCATGTTTTCAGTGGTGTGCACTGGGAAAGAAAAAAGGTGTGTGTCCACATGTTTGTGTGGGTCCTTCTCCACTCTGCCTAAAATTTTCATCTATGGTGGCTGGAAATGTGGAACCAAGACTGTGCAGTTTAAATGTTGAGTTCCTGGTTTGATAGAACCCTGAGTACTTTCACTAGATCCAGCCACATAATCAAGCTATTTGTGCTAAGAGCTTTTACTGGGACTTGTTTTTATACACTTAGTCTTTGTATATATTCCAGGTACCTACTTGACTTAATAAATACATGTTCCAACATATAAAGGAACAAAAAAATATTATAGTAGAGTTTTGCTGGGGATGACAGGATGTATTCCTGGGAATACATCCCCAGGAATCCTTTCTGCTAGGCAGAAATAGAGTTTTTAATTGTTCTGGTTTACCACTTGTGTATGTCACTTTCTTGAATGTTGGTAGTTGGTGATTTCCATTTGTCAGACTGAAAAAAAATCTGTGCTTATCCTTTTTTATATTAACCTTCTGAGAAATTGGTGTGGCAGAAGTTGTGTATTATTAAAGGTATTTTTATTTAGGAGAGCTTGAAAGTGAAATTTTTTTAAATGTGTCTGTCACTTTAGATTAACTATACCTCTTCATCACTCCTCTATTTCTTATAGTCTTCTATTCTTTAATCTAAATAACCCACATCTTAATTCTTTTCTCTGACTTCTTGAATGTGGCAAAACATATCATATGGACTAAAGTTGCTTTCAGCTTTTTCAAATAATCTCTTTAAGTATGACTAGACCATGCGATAACCAAGAGGAAGCTTCCCCTCATAGATGGTGTGTGCGTGTGCATATCGTTTTGAAGAGTCAGATGAGATAGGGGACCCACTGCTCTTACTGTGTTGTGAGTAAATAGTACATATTTTTGACACATACTTGTCACCTGTTTGCCTAATTTGAGGTGTTTAGACTCATCTGTCTTTTCTGGGGGAGTGCAAGATCCTTGGGGTGAGGGATTTGGAGACAAGTAATGCAATAAAAATTAATTTTTAAAAGGCCTTTTCTTGTTTTTATATTTGTTGTGTGTGTCCAGGATTTAGAAGAATTCTGCTTTAAGTTTTGCATCAATCATTTGACAGAAGTTACACAGACTGCAGCATTTTGGCAAATGGATGGCCCTCTGCTAAAGGAATTCATTGCTAAAGCCAGTAAATGTGGAGCCTTTAAGAACTGAAGTCAAGGCTGCTGGGTTTTGTGTGAGTCCTCTGGGACACTGGTGATGGTGTGTCCTTTGTGTTCCACTGGTGATATAATTCTGCAGGTAAAAAAACATCAGGTTCTTTTTTTCTTTAAATCTGAGACACAGTTCTCTCTGCAGGAATATATAAAAGTATGACTTTTCCTGAACCTACTTTAAACAACTCTTGTATCCAGATACATATATTTTAAATGTGACTATAGGTTTGATTGGAATATTGTAATGGCTGAAAGTTTAACTGGTTATTTCTTTGTTTTTTATTAGGGGAATTTCTGAACTTGGAAAGGGGAAGTTTGTGACAATTTTCCTGGCTCATATACCAACAACCCTTTTGACACTAGAAGTCAGGATAGTTTGTGAATTGTGAGGTAGACATAGAGGCCCAACCATAAATTAAAGATGCTGATGTTGGGGCTTGTTGAAATGTTGCATTAGTTGCTAGTTCAACTGCCTTACTGTGAAGGAATAGTTGACATCTTTTGAGATTTTCATTTCTGTGTTTGCACTATTGATGAACTTTTTCTTAATGGTGTATGAAAAACAATATTCAGTTTAGTGTGAGATAAATCTATTGAAATAATAATTATGTAAAGATAAATTTCTAGGTTAGCCAAAATTTTTCTTAAGACATAAGCACATAAAGAGTTGTAATTTAAAACTGTCCATAAAAAGTTGATGAGAGAAACTTTGGACAAAGGTAAATATTTTATAAAATTAGAATCTCCACTATTAATAATGTTTTATTAAAACTTGAGAACTCAAGTTTAAATTGCCCCTCACACATACCTTTTCCCCTATAAGTGCCAGTCATAAAAGGAAAACTGACATTGCCTCCCCAATTGTGGCTGTTAAATAATCAGGTCTGCTATGTCTGGACTTAATGGAATTTGTTTTTTATATCTAGGCAAAATCCATTACTAATTTGCTTATTTGAAATTTTGATAACTTTAACTTTTGATTTTCCTCTCTTTTTAAGTGTGTAGTGAACAAAATTATGTTTTTTTGTTGTTTTGGGGCGGGGGCCTGGTTGTGAAGTGTTATTTGATAGGTAAGAATATTTGACTTGAGTTTTATATGTGTCTGTTGAGTTTGCTTTTTTATGTTAATATTTTTATTTTTTAATTAAAAAATTATTGTTCAAGTACAGTTTTCTTTTACTCCCATCCCAGCCCACCCCCTCCCCCCAGTGCTCCCCACCTTCCTCCTATTTCCACCCCTGTTAGTTTTTGTCCATGTGTCCTCCATACTTGTTCCTGTGAGTCCCTCCCCTTTTCCCCTGAAATTCCCTCCTCTCTCCCCTCTGGAGTTTCCTTTATGAACAAAGCTTCATCTGCCCTCTGGCCCACACCTATTTCCATTAGTGGGAGCTCTCAGTAAACTCTTTCCTGCTTAGAAGGTCCTCCCATCTGACATTGAAGCCTACATACATTTTGAGTTAAATTAACAAGAAGGTGAAGATATGCAGCAATTACTTTTAGCAGTATTTTTAAGTGTGTGTGGTGGGTGGGGGGCGTGAGGGCCCAAATATAAGTATTCATTGATAGGTGAAATATGTACAAACCTGAAGTCCCAGCCAGACCCCTTTTCTTTGACCATGTTGCAAGTGATTAAAGCCCAGTCATTAGAGTTACTTCTGCACATGAAAGAATTTTTCATACTTGTTGATAGATGCGCATTAATTTATTAGTTATAATGGATAGTGTTTGTAACAACCACTGTTCTATAGGCTTATGATCTGGACAAAACATGAACTTCAGTATGTTTACTATTGCTCTTACTTGAAACAAATTTATAAAAAGCACAAATTAAAGTACTATGTCCATTTACATACATAGTTCATTCATTCAATAAATATTTACTGAGTTCCTAATATAGGTGAAGAAGCACTTCTTATATTACTAAGTAATTTGTGTGAATGTGTATGTAGTGAAGTATTTCAAAATTACTTGAGTGTCTTTTTTTTCTTTAAATACACTTATTTTTCTACTTGGTTTTATTGTTAATCCTACAGGAGATAAAAACTGTTCTTTCAATTGCTTTTTTCATTTGTTATAATAATGAAAGCCAAAGTACTCATATTTCTTAAAATAGCCATAAATGTACTCTTAAACTCCTTACTGGAACAATGTTTGATACTCTAATGTATAGGTTGTGTTTATGCAATGTTTAGAATCACACATAATAAATCAGGTAATCTGTTAGAACAGGCATTTGGTTGTGCCTCCTCCCCCAAATCAATAATATACTGCCAAAAAAGGAAGGAAATTCTGACATGGTATAACTTATACAAATCTTGATGAAATTATGCTAAATTAATAAAAAGTCACAAAAGGACAAAGACTGTATGATTCCACTTAATATGAGATACCTAGAGTAGTCAATTTCAGAGTTAGAAGTTACAGTTGTGGGCCCTGGCTAGTGTAGCTCAGTGGATTGAGCGCGGGCCTGCAAACCAAAGGATTGAGGTTCGATTCCCAGTCAGGGCACATGCCTGGGTTGCAGGCCAGTTCCCGGCAAGGGATGCACGAAAGGCAACCGTACATTGATATTTCTCTCCCTCTCTCCTTCCCTTCCCCTCTAAAGATAAATAAATAAAAAAATTTTTTTTAAAAGAAATTACCATTGTGGTTGCAAGGGACTTCAGGGAGGAGGAAATGGGGAGGTTAATAGATAGGTACAGAGTTAAGTTTTGCAAAATGAAGAGTTCTGTGACTGGAGGGTGGTGATGGTAAAAACAATGTGAATTTCCTTGATGCTATAGAACTGCACTTAAACATGGTTAGCATGGGAAATTTTATGTATATTCTGTAACAGTTTTTAGAAAATCAGTACTGAGTTCTAGCAGGTATCAGGCCAAAAACAGGTATCACCATACACATGTCAACTATTTCTCAACTACATACACACTCAACCTTATAGATCCTTTGATTTTATTTCTGCTGAAAGATAATACAGTTGAACTGTCACAGCAGAAAAATGGATCTGGATCCTTTGGGGTACTTATAAATGAAGACATAGTCCCTGTCCTCGAGGAATGTATAAATTGTTAGGAGTTAACACAATAACATATTTGTAAACAGCTTTTCATGATAGCAAGAGAAAATCTCATAGAATTATGAAAAGCGTATCTGAAGATGTTTGTGCAGTGTAGGGGAAAACATAAAAGTGTCCTTTTAGCTCATTTCCAAAACAACAGTTAAGTGGCACAAGCAGAAGCTAGCTTACAGG